TTATCTAAAATGACTAATATAATACACTCATGGACAAAACTTAAGGAATTTTCATATTTTGATATCGCCGGATGTCTGTTTTTTTTTTTTTTTTTGAATGAGACAGATGCAATTTTGTTCACACTTGGTTATCTTGTGTGTCTTCAATAAAGGTCATTGTAATATCTTCCAGAGTTATTGTCTGAATCCCGATATACATGCTAAAAGGTACATCTTTCTCAGGTTTTTTCTATAAGTGGATATATCGCGGAAAAAGAGCATATCTACTATAATAACCGCCTCAATCGGTTTGCAATGTATTTGTGTAAAGTGGTAAATGCCGAAAATTCGCTTGCTGATTGGTACTCCACTATCACGTGATCTCAATCTAGCAACCAGTGTTGAATTTATTAGCCAATCAGCGTACAGTGATTATTTTAGCTCAGTGGTACATTGAGCAACAAAGTTTTATATTAAATATAATAGTGTGGTTTTTTTTTCTCGAATATTTTTTTGTCACACGAATTTTGGTAATATAAAAAATAGTTTTAGTTTTATACGATAATAACAAGGCGAAGGAAGACGAGTATCTTTATTATATACTCGTCTTCCTTCGCCTTGTTATTATCGTATAAGTTCATTCCAGGAAGAATTACTCTACTATTATTCTAAAGTTTTAGTTTTGTGTGTTCTATCTATTTATACTCTAAGAGAAAATTGCTGGAAATTGACATGGACCCAGAACAGAAGCTTTACACACCCAAGATAATATTGTGACTGCTGTGATAGAGATGTATGGAGACATCTGAGGCTCTTCATTGGACATAACAACAACAACAAATTGACATGGACCCAGAGCAGCAGCTTTACACACCCAAGATAATATTGTGACTGCTGTGATAGAGATGTATGGAGACATCTGAGGTTCTTCATTGGACACGACAACAACAACAAATTGACATGGACCCAGAACAGCAGTTTTACACACCCAAGATAATATTGTGACTGCTGTGATAGAGATGTATGGAGACATCTGAGGCTCTTCATTGGACACGACAACAACAACAAATTGACATGGACCCAGAACAGCAGCTTTACACACCCAAGATAGTGGACATTGCGACTGCTGTGATAGAGATGTATGGAGATATCTGAGGCTCTTCATTGGACACAACAACAACAACAGAAAATTGACATGGACTCAGAACAGCAGCTTTACACACCCAAGATAGAGGACATTGCTGTGATAGAGATGTATGGAGACATCTGAGGTTCTTCATTGGACACGACAACAACACAAAATAAGAACAAATTAATTTCAGAGTTATAAGTTATTTTGATGTTTTAATTCTTTGTTTTATTGGGATATGACACACACAGTCTCCTCTTGATCTATTTATTCTAAAGTAGAGCATTTTATTGGCGTGAGAATGATTTGTATGTATCAACATTCTTTTAGGGGATTGTTTATTCTTGAAATACCCCGTCACAGGTGCGATGGCTGAGTACCAATACTCAAGTAAATATAAAATGTATCTAGAGAAACTTGAATACTCGTGGGTTAAATTTCTCTATTGTCCGATAGGTGGTATTTGTCTATCTTTTAACTATATATTGGAGATGTTACAAATTATAAAAAAAGCATAAGAGACCCCGCAACTTTTTTTTTACTTGATTAAAGAAAGTTTTCGTGCAAGCCCTTCATCAACTAACTAAAACGTTTTATTTCTGTGAAGACACTTCGGTCAGTTAGAGCTTTTTTATTTTCTCAACGTTTCAATAAAAATATTTTGTCTTCGTCAGGAGAAATAAATAAAAATAAAGCATTTGGCAAGGCATCCCCTGACAAAGACTAAAGATTTTTGTTGATACTTTGAGAAAATAAAAAACTCTAACTGTCCGAAGTGTCTATTTTTTTACAGAAATATGAATGCCGGCCAGGCAACCTTTATCTTCAGGATAAAACGTTTTAGTTAGTTGAAGAAGGACTTGTCCGAAAGCTTCCTTTAATCAAGTAAATAAACAGAGTTGCGAGGTGTCTAATGTTTTTTTGTAATTTGTAATATTTCCGATATAGAGTTGAAAGATAGGCAAATACCATCTAACGGACAATAGAGAAATATAACCCATGAATATGCTTATGCTTTTTGTAATTTATCGAAATCTGCAATCGGGGGGAAGATATTGTTGCATTCAATTTGCATAGCCATATCTCCCAGGATGAAAGGTCCACGAATAGGCGTCCACGAGGGTTGTTTCACAAAATGGCGGTGTGTGGCCAACAATACAACAATGGCGTAGTTTCACACCACAATGGTATCACGCCAAGGCAGGAATACAATGTGTCTGAAATCCTCATCCTACGCACCTCTATGTCTACAAAGAAAGATGGACATCGGTTTTATTTTGTTTGGTTTTTACACCTCATCGCACACGTTCCTTCCTTCCCCACATACCTTCCATAGCAAATTGTTTATTAATTACAAAAATCTTGTAAAATATATGGTGAGATGCAAATATTTGGCGGCAACAACACGTCGTTAATACTTTAGGTTAGAAAAAAATAGTACAAATGTGATATTGTACTGGGATAAGGTTTAGAAATTATGAAAAAGGCATCTCCTTATCGTGCAACTGAAAGTTGCTGATGGCTTGCGCCATCTATTGGAATAAATACCAACTATTCTCGTTGATTTCTAATTATTCCAGAATTGGCCAAATACCCATTCTTAATTAATCAAGAAAAGCTAACCACGTACGCGTTTCGGGCTGTTGGTCCTCATCAGCGTGGTGCAGCAACTTTCAGTTGCACGATAAGGAGATGCCTTTTTCATACTTTAGGTTAGGTTATTTTAAAATAGAGAATATATTTTCGCCCAAGACAAGTAATCCTAACACGAAATAATCCAATTGGCAGCGCAATTTCCCCTCTGACTTCTAAAATGAACATCTCTCACCAAATATAAAATATTATTTATTACAATGTGATTCTTGATGTATAAGTCTTTAGCACCATATATATATTTTACAGCCTACTCCACGCTGACGAGCGCCAACAGCGCGAAACGCGTTCGTGGATGGCTTTTCTTGATTTATCAAGAAATTGGGTTGGCCAAATATCACGGAGCAAGCTAAATAAACGTTTAGTTTATTTTTGCTCCACTAGATGGCGCTCTGCCATCTAAAAAGCACATGTGCTCGTGGTCAGGAGATGCCTTCTTTATTTTTAATATCAACACCTGACCCACTTATCTTTTATTTTTTCTATTGTTTTTTCATATATATACAGTCATTGACTTAAGGAAGTTGTACCTTTTCGCATGTATATTGGGACAATAACTCTGAAAGATATTACAGTGACCTTTATTGTGAAGACACACGAGATAACCAAGTATGAACGAAATCGCCTCTGTCTCCTTTTAAAAAAGGACAATCGGCGATATCAAAGACTTTCTACTTAAGTTTCGTCTGTGAGTGGAAATTAAGATTATTAAGGAAGAATTATATGTATTTTATATGCAAATTAAATGTATTACGATTCACTAGCGCGCCATCTGTTATCAAAATACGAAACTATTTTAGACGCGTAAGATTCTTTTTAAAATAAAACAATTTCTACTGTCCTTACTGTAATGAAAAAATTACTTGATACACCACTGATGAGCCAGGCCCTCCCTTTAATTATTCCATTGCAGTAAAGACAGTAGAAATTATTTTATTTTAAAAAGAATATTACGCGTCTAAAATAGTTAGGTAAATTAAATGTATACCTACTGTTTTCTCTCAAAGCTTTGTCCATAGTTTGATTAGGAATATTTATTAAACACTGGATGTATAAGCAGAATAACCCAGTACAATAGCAGTTCTGTGTGGTTGATTCATCTGGTGACCGCAGGGAGGGTTCACCACTGGTGAGCCAGGCCCTCTCAATATTTTTCCATTCCAGTAAGGGCAGTAGGAAGCTGTTTTATTAATAAAAATGGAAAATTCGCCGTAAACAGTTCAAATTCTGATATATACGAGATATATACATCGTAGATGGCGGTTTAATTCCTTATATTTAACATTTAAAATGTTAATTAAAGGCGTTTTTCAAACTTTTGCTAAATTTTACATATTTACAACTTAATATTTGACTAAATCTTTCATAACCTCTAATTGATAATATAATTTCTCTATTTTTCTGTAAAATAAATCTCGTATTGAACTTGGAGATTTTTAGCTCTCTGATTATGCAAATTTCTACTTGATATACATTTGCCAACACTTATGTGTATATTTTTTTGAAAATAGAGCAATCCATAAATAAATATTTAATTAAAAAGGCATATATTGGATCGAAATATCATATGATATTTTGATCCAATATATGCTTTTTTAAAATAAAAATATGTGTATATATAAAACATAATAAATATATATATTTTAACAAAAAAGCTAGATTCTCTTAGGTATTAATTTTTGAAGGTGTTAAAACTTTTTCAACACAAAAATTAACTATGATTTTTTAAAATTCAAAAATCAAGAAGGGGGGGGGGGTTATTAATATATATAATTTATGTGACAATTCTATAATGGGGTTAATGTCAATTAACTAGGTATCATATTAGCATATTTCCAATATACTTAAATTTATATGGTTTAAAGTATTACACGCCCTCACCTGCACACACAAATATTTCTTGTCATCAAGTAATTTTGTTTTTTCTCAGATAATCCCATGGAAAAATGTCTTTGGCTTAAATTTCTTATTTTAAAAATTGTCAAATTTTACTTAGTTTTTTTTTAAGCTAGGCGTGTACGAAAAACAAGCGAATGAAACATTTTCAAATTTATAAATCTATTTTAAACATACAAGGGTTTTTTTGCTTATCCCTAGTACACGTTGTACAGTCCATGATAATCATGGTGGGTAGAAGTAATTTTATTTTAAGGAGAAATAACGACTATTCCTATCCTTAGTGATGAAGTATGAAAGGATGAATTGTGAAGAGTAATGGTGTATGGAAAAATAAAAAAGTCTCCAAGGATGGGAATCGAACCCACAGTGTTCCGCTTACCGGGCAGATGCCATGTCCACTAGGCTACCCTGGACATGGTAGGTAGAAGTAGACGACTGCTTTTACTTTAAGTGCACCACATGTCTACAAATATGAAAAGCAGTTCGACTTACAAGGTAAAAAGACCAAATCTAAATAAATAAATAATACATGTAAATTTGTAAATATTTAATTCTATGTTTTGTTTTGTTTGTTTCCTCTGTAATAGGCGCAAATACTTCAATATCACACCTTGTTGATTGATAAATATATAGTGTGTTTCAATAACAACGCTATTTCCTAAAGATCAAACACTATTTATTTATTTGGATTTAATCTTATTACCTTGTGTTGACTTTGCTTAGAATATTTAATGAAAATGATTCCAATAATTATTAATTAAATAACAATATATATTAAAAATGGCATATCCTGACCAGGAGCACATGTGCTTTACAGAAGGCAGAGCGCCATCTGGTGGAACAGAAATCAACTAAACATTGATTTAGCCTGTTCCCTAAATCAATGTTTAGTTGATTTCTGTTCCACCAGATGGCGCTCTGCCTTCTGTAAAGCACATGTGCTCCTGGTCAGGATATGTCATTTTTAATATTGATTTCAACACCTGATCTTTTTATCTTTTTTTTTTCTTTCGTTTTTTTTTCATAACAATATATATATAACAATATCCCTGACAAATAATCTAAATATTAATAATTATTGGAATGTATATATATTTAATCCCAGTATAATATCTATTACTTTAGCGGGTAACAGTCTGATGCACGCCCGCGAGAGCACATGCTAATAACAAAGGTTTTCAATTATTCTGTATATATATTATTTAGAGTTTGTACATAGAATATCAGACCGTTGAAGAACAGTATATTTACTCGAAACATTGCAATTTTAAATTAAAAATAAATTTTTTACCTGATATTAATTTTTACTTTTTCAAATATATTTATTGATTTACAAGAGAGAGATCAAAAGGGAAACTAATATTGTCAAAGGAACTTTTTTTCTTTCGGTTAGCGCCTATTTACCTGTGAACTTACACACACTCTGTGGAACAATTAATTAATATAAATATACAACAGTTTTTAATCTATAATCCAAATTGTGCCTTTATTATAAATATATTCTGTAAATTAATCAATAAACTGGATATTTTTTATAAATTATTTAAAATAAATTAAAATTTGCATATTTGAAATACTTTCAAAAACTAATAATGTTGACATGTCAATAACACGTGAAGAAAAAAAATAAAATTAATTAAAAGAAAGGGAAACCACAACATAAAGAAGATAAAAAGAAGAAAGGTCATGTAGAGGACATTTCCATGGTAGATGTTGTCGAGCATATTTATGTGGTTCTTCTCTGAATATCATCACCATGGTACTTCATCTCTCCCGTAAAAAGGGAATAACCCAGTATGACGCATCCCGGGATGTAAAAATGGAAGTGGAATATGGAAATCACATTAATTATGTAAATAAGGTCTATTATAAATCAACTAAAGTCATTAGGGAGCAATGGATTAGGTGCTTGATGGATTACATAATGGTAGCAGCCCAATTTGTGGTCAGGTGGGGCTCAACTTCTCAGAATTACTCTATGAATAATAATATTAAAAAAATAATTGTATTTGACCAACGGTCTATCATCATTACTGTACCCTCTTAATTATTATCCTCGAAAGGAATTTTTTTGTTTCGCTTTTTTAAATGGGTGATTTATACGGAGATTTTCGTAGTGAAAGGGAGAATCTATGAGAGATAATATAGTGAATATATTATTTGACCGTGGACCGACGATTTATTTGGCTAAAAAGGCAGTAATTACACCAAGTTTTTGGGGGCGCGTTCGCCTACAGGTGAAATTACATATTGTTTACATCCTTCCAGCTGCGTGCATTTTCACTTATTTCACATGAGATTTTATTGATTAGTTCTCAACTTAGCACTTATATATGATTTGTCACGTTTACTATAGCGGCTAAAAAAAAGATAAGAAGTTGGGAAACTGTGGAAATTGCCACTTTACGGTAATATGTAATTATTTTAGGATTATTATAAATTACATATTTGCTTATTTAAATAAGCATATTGGCTTACTTAAGTATGCTATACGCTACACGAATGTAACACGCACAGATCTATATAAATATAATGGTTGCGTGTTTGCTCTGTTTGACCCATCAATTTTACCAGGATATAGAGATAGGAGTAGTTGTTATAGATACAATATTATATGACAAATAGCCCAATACTGCATTAATTTGCATATTCCGGGGTCAAAGTGGGGATAATAACAAATTCAATATGGATTATTAGTATTAATAATAATGATAATTATAATATAAGGAATCGCTGGATATTATTTCTAAGAAGGAAAAAAAAAAAAGATAACGAGGACAAGATTCCTAATCTCTCTTTGTCTATATCTCTCTCATATCTTTTATTTCCTCTTAATAATTATAATGATGGAAATTCTAAACTATTATAGACACGTATGATTCTTTTTAAAATTAAACAATTTCCACTGCCCTTACTGCAATGATCATTCAATGGGAAGGTCTGTCTCATCAGTGGTTAACCCTCTCAGCGGTTTGGCCAGTTTAATCTACCATAAACTGGCGAAGCCGCTGGGAGAGTTCATTACTGATGTGCCAGGCCCTCCCATTAATTTTTACATTGCAGTAAGGACAGTAGAAATTGTTTAATTTTCAAAAGAATCATACACGTCTATAATAGTTTAGAATTTTCATAACAGATGGCGCGCTAATGTATCATAATATAAATTATAATTATATAAATATATAAACCATTTCTAAGATTTCACCATTCAGTGTAGCATATATAAACAGAATGATATAATACAGTATTAGAGCTCTAAAGAAGCGGTCTGGTAGATTAAATTGGCGGAAACCGCTGGGAGGGTTCACCACTGATAACCCCTCCCATTGGTAAAATATAAAAACTTACCTTTAGTTCATTATTTAACCCCTTCAGTGAAGTCTTCATGTTTAATACATTACAATTAGTAATAATTAAGAGATAATAGACCTAGATTTTTGTGTGTTGAATACATAACTTCAAAGTTATCACTTAGAAAAGATTTTTAAAAGCCTGTGATTTAAGATTTGTACTTCAAGATTTCTAATATATTCGATCTTATTTGTAATTTGAAAATATATTTATAAAAGAATGATGCGCGTCAAAAATAGTTCAAAAATTTTCATAGAATTAATTTTATAAATTCTATATAACTGTGAAAATAGTTACTGTTAATTTTTTTAGAATAAAACTACTTGATATTAAATAATTATTATTCTATTTTTCTATTATCATGAGACACTGAACCTTCAATTCTTTATTTTACAACAAAAAACATATATCATAACACACACACACACACACACACACACATTGACCGTGCGGCCACGCGTCGCGCGAGCTCCGCGTTTTTCGCCTCGGGCGAGCTGAAAAATGTCGCGTATAGCGACGAATTTGGTACGGGCTGAAAGCCCTTTAAAGGCCGTACAAAAGCCTGTAAGGCACGGCGCACAAACTCAATCATGTGCGGAATTATCTTCGAAAGAAGATCCGCAAAACAAAATTTAAAATGCTCCAGGCAAAAATCAAATCTATGCAAATCCGCCGACAGGCGATAGGAATGCAAATCTGACCGCCATGCGCGGTGACGTCACGACCGGCTCGGCAGTCATCTAATGGCGCTGCCCGTGTCCTGGGAAACTGGGCGGACTACACCGAAGACCCAAGCCCTGGAGCGGACGAAGACTTCACCGTCATCAAGAGTCGAAAAAGGCGCCGCAATTCGACGGATTCACCCACAGCGGCTAGACATTACTCTAACCCCAGGGGCGCAGGAGCCATTCCCCGGCCACGATCGTCCACGGGATGGGTGCCGCGGGCGGAAGAGATCAAGACCACTCGAGCGCATATCGCGGAGGCCAGGGCGCGGCAGGCGTCCTCCGCCGAAGACAACTGCGTCTACGTGGAGTACAGCCCCGAACTTGAGCCCTACCACTACATAAGGGCCGTCGACAGGATAATCGGTGGAACCAACAATGTCTACCAGATCTCCAAAATCAACGGGCACTACCTGATGGGACTGAACAACAGAGGCCTGGCCGAGCGCCTCATCAGCGAGGGCCTCGAGGTCGAAGGCACTCTCTTCAGGGCCTTCCCATTCCGCAAGAGAGCGATGAAAATCACCGTGGGCAACCTCCCCTTCTTCGTGGAGGATTCTACCATCATCAGCGCCCTAACACCCTACGGGCGAGTAACTTCAATCGCGCCCAAACTAATGAAAGCCGGCCCTTACATCTATAACGACGGCCGCCGAGACGCTTTCATTGTCCTCCACGAAGGAGTAACCACCGAGAGGCTCCCCACCCGCCTCGAGATAAAAATCAAAGGCGAGGTATGGCCCGCATACCTGTCCTATGGCATCAGGTGTTCCAGGTGCCACGGACAAGGGCACAGAAGAGCCAAATGCCCTTTACTCCATGGACAGTCCACCACCTCCAGACGGGCTTCACCGCCCTCTACCACCGACCTCCCACCATTGACCGCGCATGGGCTGCCTGGACGATCTTCGGCCGCGCCTACTGCGCCGGCGCCTCCCAGTCCAGCTCTCGGGCCTTCCGGCGCTCCACCAGATGCCCGAATTGCATCCCTATCATCTACGGCTCCCCGGCCGTCTACACCAGCGCTGCCGGCCTCTTTTGTACAGGTGGCGGCTCCTGCCCCTCCACCAGAGGCCCCTGCACCCGAGCACCCCGCGAGCCCTCGCTCGGCGGCGACTGAGCCGACGCCTCCCGCCCGGCCGGACTTCACTACCCCGTGTGGCCCTCTGCCTGCGCAGGGGACCCTCGGGCCTGCAACCCATACACCGGATGTCGACATGACCACCACTGAGGAGACATCTGCATCCTCACCAGCCGCAGTGATTTCAACACTCCCACTGCCTGCGCCTCGGCCCCAATGAGTTACCGCGTCGCCACCATCAACGCGCGAGGGCTCG